TACATGAAAATCCCAAGATGTACTCCATAATGTCATGGATCATTTCTTTAATGTAGTATCCATCACCTAATAAATGAGTGTTTGAGTCAAATACGAATACCAAGCAAAGTATTTAGATAAATACAAAAACAGTTGGTTATGCAGAAGTATACAATGAAAATGAACGTACACATGGAAGTTCTGTGCATTGGCATATGGGTGGATTGCTTTAATTATAATCTTGATACCATTCCTCTAAAAAAGAGCATTGTTGACTATGTGACCACTTTTAACAGACAATGACTATTTCCTCATTATTCTATGACATAAAACGTTTGCATTTATTACCCAGATTCATTTCTAAAACCTTTCTATCATTTCTGAATATTTAAGCCATACAAAATATTAGCCCAGGAAAGTCATGCAAGTTCTCCAAAAATCTGATGTTGCATAAATTTACTGTAAATGCAAAACATCAATTTTCAAAGTAAATTATGTTACTCTGTGTGGATTATGAGCTATAATGCATTCATCAAGTGTGAATACAAACCTAAACTCATTGAGTGCTTACAATAATCATATTTCCAGTATTTGAAAGTATTTTAAAATGTAGTAAAAGTCATAATCCACATGAAGTTATTCTAATATCAAAGCACATTTATGTCCTATTTACATACTGTCAAAATGACAATAAACTGCAATTGGGCCATTTCAAATTTTAATTTAAAAACTGAATTTTATTCTTTTCAATATATTTTGAATCATATCTCCAAATACATTATTAAACTGTTTTCTTAATCATACATTCTTGTTTCTTCAAGCATCCATTCAACTATATTTTAATGACTGAATAACATTTAATCACTTAGTCCTCAAACAAAATTAAATGCTGATCATGAAATATGATGTTACTTTCATAGAGATAGGTAAATGTAAAGAGATAACACTAAAATGTGTAGATTGATTTTCATATTTAGCGAAATCAATTTTTAATTTAATATTTTAATGCTACATTAAATTTTGGAGAATTCAGTAAGGAAAATCCTTTGCGTAAGAGTAAAAATTTTAGACATTTGGTTTTTGAATCTGCCTGCTCTCTCTGGCATTAAAAACTCCAAGTTT